CGTCGGGCACATCACCCTCTTCTCCGAGATCTACCGTAGTACAGTCCACGAGAACTTAACTCACCCAAGGTGTGTGCTCTCTGAGCCTGCAAAGGTGTTTGCTGCCGTCACCTCTTCGTCGGGCACATCACCCTCTTCTCCGAGATCTACCGTAGTACAGTCCACGAGAACTTAACTCACCTGCTTTCTGAGCCTGCAAAGGTGTTTGCTGCCGTCACCTCTTCTACCCTCTTTCTCCCGTCCTTGCCGTTTCCTTCTTTGCACGTGCAGACGCCAGTGTATAAAGAAGCTAGCGTCGCAATTTGTCTGTCTGCAGACTGCAACATGAGGTGGCCCTCCCACACCATACTACGCATGCTTCAACATGTTCAAGAGAGCCTTGGCCACGTCATCCCCCTTGTCGCATATAATCTCTTTTTTTTTTTCTTTTTTTTTCTTTTTTCTTTTCTTTTGTTGCATCTATAATCTCAACGAATGAAGTATGCTTTCTCGCTTTGCTCCAGCGTGAGCGAGCATGACTGTGTGCTAGTCTTGAACCGATAGAGGCTGGACCTTTTTGACAGAGCACAGTCAAACACCGAGCTGCATTTTTTGACGGAGCACAGTCAAACACAGTCTTGAATCAATAGAGGCTGGACCTTTTTGACGGAGCCCTTGATCTGAGGCGTAACCTGTGTTTCAGTTTCAGTTTTTGAAAACGTGATTTATTTCAGAGCTGCATTTGCGTAGTACTCGTTTTCTGGATTACATTGGCGGCATGACTATGTTGCGAGGTGGCTGACGATTGCCGTGCAACTTCAAATGCGTTTGGCGTTGTGTGCAGACTGGTCAAGATGAGCAGCATGTGGAGCAACGGATGGAGAAGAGCGCAGTTGCAAAGCCGGCGGAGGCCGTACGGAATGATGGTGGGGACCGCGGCTGTCGTTGGTCAGGTGGTAGTGGGACGATCACGAGGCATGCGGAAGATGCGAAGAACTCTTTGCCTGTCGTCCAGGGGCAGATTTCGGAGGACGGTTGTGGTATTGGACTGTGCGTGAATGTGGAGGACGATGATTGCCTGCCAATAAGTAACGTTGGAGCCGAACAAGATTGCCAAGGGAGCTGGGGCAATGGGAGCGTCGAGAGGAATGGCAGGGCCATGGTGCATGCAAGTGGAAGGAACGGCGGAGCCAATTTTGACGACGGAAAGGATGGGAAGGACATCGGCGGAGCCAATGCTGCTCAGGGTCGTGCAGACGTCTTGAGTTATCGTGCCGATGATCTGCCAGGGCGGGAGAAGATGAGCCTGATATCGGCGTCATCGGGAAATGAAGTCGATGGGGGAAGCAGCGAGGGGAGAGGATGTCTCCTGGAAGTAACCCAGGGAAGTGATCTGGGCACACAGTGCAGAACGAACGCGCGGCGGCAATTGAAGGAGAGGGAGGACGAGGTGGTTGAAATCCGGGTCGACCCGTGTAGCCATCGCCGAGCTAATTCCCTCCAACAAGAAATGCGAACAGTTTGTCTGCCTGCCGGCAACGACTTCTTCCTCCACGAGAACTACACGGATGCACATGGACCGATTATTTCCTGTAGCCGCTTGGGGAGCTTTGCATCGGTGATGTCAGCAGACACCATCTGCGAGGAATTGACGACTTATGTCGGTGGTGGGTTCTGAAACGAAGCCTTTCCTATCCCTTTTTACACTTCGCTGAATCTCTCTGAGTCATTGCTTGGCGACCTACCGTCCTCCTCACCCGAATAGAACGCCAGGTCATTATAGCTGTATTTGGTGCAACTCTCAGTCTGGATACAGTCAAAATAACCCGGCGTTTGATTCTGGTGAAGACGGGTGTAGATAATAGCAAGAATTCTCTCCTCCTTTTGTTGCTGACCACCTGGTAGAGTGCGTGCGGGTGGTGTTTGTTGCGTGGCTGAAGTTAAATATGGTATTCTAGTAATAAATTACTAATAATTTATTAATTTTACTATTTTCAGATGCAAGGGTTGAATATACAAAAAAAAAAAAAAAAAAAAAAAAAAAAAAAAAGGGGAATTAAAGGGCCCTACCAATTAAAATTGTGTTTTTGGGTGGTGTTTATGTTTTTTTTTTTTTTTTTTTTTTTTTTTTTTTTTTTTTTTTTTACCGATGTCCCGAAGGTCTCTATACTGCTTTTTTGACGGTTTTTTTTTTCTTTTTCTTTCTTTGGACGCGTAAATGGCGTACATGGTGCGTAACACACGCAAACTGTGACAACACGAAAGTGAAGACGCACAACAATCGCAGAACGATTAGGACAAGACGAGGTAGCAAGGCAAGATAGAGAAGACGACATAAAGAAGAAGGAAAGAAGATGGAGACAGAATCCATAACCCTCTTTGCTTTGGACGGTTTCACATATCGTGGGTGATTTAAAAAATAATAATAAAAAATCGTGGGTGGGCATGGATTCTCCATAACCAACGGCCAGGGAGCAGTAGTGGTTGTCCCGACCATTGCAAGCGGGGTGACCCTTCGCTCTCGGAACGCCTGCTGCCTGCATTTGGCTAACAGACAAGCGGCGGGCGTTATGTTTTTTTGTATTCTTTTTATTTTATTATTATTATTTTTTGAATCAAGGGCGACGGTCTTCTGAGCTTGGTAGTGTGAGAAGAATATAGCTTTTGTAAGGGGAAAAAAAGAAGGAGAAGAAAAGAATTATATCGTTCTGTTCACGTGATTGCATGTGGATCCGAATTTCGGTCTCTTTTTTATATTTTTTTCTTTTTTTCTTTTTTCTTCCCCCAAAAAAGCGGGCAACCTTACGTGGGTTTGCCAACTGAGGGGCGCTGTCCAAACGGAACAAGCACGAGTGCATCTTCCTTCAGAAAGTGGCGAGATGCATCATCCGTTACTATGAATAGTCACGGATGCATCTGGCCGCTTTTTGCGGGCACATGTACTTGATTTCCGTTTTGACATGTACTACCTTATTCCCCCGAATACAACGTACGGTAATTATAATAGCAGTCTTTAGTCTGGAAGATAGGCCAGATTCGGCTATGATGACCGTATGTTGTATTCGGGGGAAGAAGGTCGGATGTTGTGTACTGGAGCAACTTGCCGAGTTTGCGAGTATGCCCTTGGACTTTGTAGACCGCTCGGGCGGATGCATGGTGGGAAACCGAGTTTACGAGTATGCCCTTGGAGTGTAGCCGAGTTGGAGTATTGCGGCCCCCCCCCCTTAAGTTTTTTTTTTTTTTTTTTTTTTTTTTTCTCGAAGTCGGAGTGTGCCCTTGTGGGTAAAGTAAGAAGTACGTTTTTGTCCTTCGGGTGCACGGTTCCACTAGGCAGGCGGGTAAGGTATACAATGGACGGTCATTATCACTGTATCTAGACGCAAAGTTGCCTCAAATACAGCTATAATGAAGGTACGTTGTATTCGGGTGAAGAGTGTAGGCAGGCGGGTAAGGTGTAAGGGCCAGATCCCACTGGCAAAGAGGATTGGAATAAGTGGCGGAATCTGGACGTGTTCCACCCAGAGATGCAGAAAAGCAGACCAATCACAATTTTTTGCACCTCTCCACAAACACGTCCAGATTCAGAGGCTTATTCCAATCCTATTTGCTAGTGGGATCTGGCCCTAAGCATGCAAGATGAGCACCACCATGACACTGCTGCACGACCGGCAAATCGCACGGCAGCCGGAAATAATTTTGATGCACCTATTTTCCTAGCTGTCTTTTCTTTTTTAAATAAGGCCATCGAAAATGAGAAGTTTTTTTTTTTTTTTTTTTTTTTTTTTTCTTGAGAGAGAGAGAAGAATTCTTTTCAGGGGTTTTGATTCGTCCCAGACTCCGAAAGAAGAGAAAATCAGGTACTGAGTCTTGGGAGTTACTGTTCGCCCCTAGACTGCGCTGCTTGGTTCTGACTTTTCGGCGATTGGTGGGAGTTACTGCGGTGAATTCTTGCTGCAGGGGAGTGGTTCGGCTCAGAGAGCGGGCTTGAGACCAGGTGGCCCCTGGGACTTACTTCGCGCTCTTCGTTCTTGTATAGCTTTGGGCACTGGGACCTCAATAAAAGAGTTGTTGAGCAAAAAACAAAAAGATGCAGAAGTTTAAAGAACACGGTTTCCCAAAAGAAAAAAATAAAGAAACAACTTGAAGGTGCTAGGCTCCCCACGTCGTCGTTGGGGTCCTTGTGCACGTTCACTGGCTTGGTGTGTATACATGCACACTATGAGCAACGGACCACCGTCTTCCCCCGAACACTACGCACCCTCATTTTGGCTGCACCTGACCGGAAATATAGCTTGTGTAAGATGGTAGGCAGCAGACATTCCCTCAGAGAGAGAAGACTTCCTTAAATTTGCTCTGCCCATCTCCTGCGCACTGTGATATGGATACGGGCTCTGTAAACGTTGATGATCCCATCTTTTTTTTTTTTTTTTTTTTTTTTTAATCTTGTGAATAT